AATGTGTGTTTTCATCAAAAAATAAAATATTGAATTTTTAAACCTATATTGAAGTAAAACTTCATTATTTTCCCTGAGAATCAAAAAGTTCCAAGACAAAATGCTTCGTTTAGTGAAAAAATATAATAATTAAGATACTCCGATCCTCAGGTTCTGAAAATCAAGCATTGACTGATTGAAAATGCTCACAAAAATGTCTCTGAATTTTCAAAGTAACTTGTTTTTACCCATAACAATTCTTCAAACTTCATCTTTCAAGTTAATCATATTATATAGAGAAAATTAGTAAATCTCAAATATATTTTCAGGAATTGTAAATAAAAACACCTGCCATGCCTTTTCAAATTCAAATTTGATCAATTGACAAATTTTAAAAATAAAAATCATAGGTATCCAGGCTTTTGAGGAAATTCCACAATTTTTATTCATATAATGTACTTTAATTTCGTTTATTTACGTTGATCATATCATTTTACAATGCAAAGTGCATAAAGATTATCCTTTCATTGCAAAGTTCCATATATAAATCACTTCTAATACAAAAGTATGTTAATAAACATTGGTATCTATGGTATTATTAAAATAATGGTATAGTAATAAAATTGGTATGGATTAAAATAAACATCAATTTCTTGATATATGTAGTTTTAAAAAGCTTTTACGGGGTAAAAATTTCGCATTTTAATTAGACCTTTCTGAAAACTTCAAAGAACCTTGAAGCACATTGAGAGGTATATAATGAAAATTCTTGCATGAAAAGATTTAATTTTTGATAAGTTTTGAATATTCGATAGGAAGTAAAATATTAAGTTTTTTATGCTTAAAAATTAAAAACTAATATGAACTTTCTTTTTTACAGTTGATGTGGTTACAGTGACCTTGAATGAAAAGCAGAGATGAGAAAAGATCATTTTAGAGTCGTGATACCGGTACTAGCCTTGTGTTTCCTACTTCAGTATGCATTTTATCACATCTGGTATGATCCAAACCAATCACACGATTCCAAGATGAGCCGCCCGGAATTAAAGTTCATCGTACCAGAAAGAGATAGTAAAATCAAAGCGGTTAATCAAATGTCTAGCAAATCAAACAGTGCTGTTAAACAAACTGATGTCAAACCTAGGTACAACATTGTATTTTATAACATGCCCTCTTGGATGTCAATGGAATTTAAAACTTTGGATTCCTCTAAATGTCCACATCATGCATTGAAACACAAATGTTTTGTTTACCCTAAAAACAATTACTATAGTTCTTCAAAGAGTGTTATCTTCTATGGAGAAAAACTACCCGCACAAGTTCCAAACAGACAAAAGGGACAAATGTGGACATTCTTTTCAATTGAGTCTCCATTTCTGTATTCTGTACCCCGACAATGGAAGGATAAATTCAATTGGACACTGACATATAGAAGGGATTCTGATTTCTCCATCTTGTATGGAAAAATAAGTAAAAGACAGATTCCTCTAATACGAAATTACTCAGAAATATTTCGAAAAAAGAAGAAAACTGTTGCCTGGGCAGTCAGTAATTGTAAAACGTCTTCAAAGCGGGAAGACTACATCAAAAAACTTCAGGAATATATTAATGTTGATGTATATGGTCGATGCGGGAAGCTCAAATGTGGCAGGACTTCGGCCGGAGTGACCGATTGTCACAAAAAATTCGCGGAAGAATACAAGTTCTATTTTGCTGTTGAGAACTCAGTATGTAAATATTATACAACTGAAAAGTTGTTCAACTTTTTCTTTCATAACCTAACAATGATACCTATTGTTAATGGACCTCAGAATGTTCATGAGTATATCCCAAAAGGAACATATATAAACATTCTAGATTATTCTTCCCCTTCGGAATTAGCGAAGGACCTCCACCGAATTGGATCAAACGAAACACTTTACTCTCAGTATTTACAAGAGAGAGACAAGTATCGGGGAGATAGATCTTACTGGGAGGAAGCTTTATGTCCAATGTGTGCTAGACTACAAGACAGTAGACAGACTGGAACTATTTCTGACATTCATTCTTGGATATGGAATAATACTTGCATCAAACCGTCATGAAAGATTCATTTGCCAATTAGCAAAGTTATTTATCTACATTTTTTATGATTTATGTGACTTTATTTATGAACAGTGTTCAATATCATACGTATACATACAATAATACAATAAATCACTTTTAACTGCTGGTGTAGTTAACTCTAATTTTGGCTGAATATTACTCACAGATCTAAACGGACTTACCAGATCTATAAGGACATGGTCGGTGGGTGCTTTGTTACAACGCATTTAAAAAAAAAATACCCAATTTAAATTTATTTCAAAGTGCATAACATTTGGGACCAAGTTAATGCGCTTTAAAAAACAAATAATATTTTTATAGGTATAAGGTATACGGTTCACAGAGTATTATCGGATATGGTGATATATGAATATATCTGATACCAGTTTAGCAAAATGCTAATCTTTTTTTTTTTTTTTTTTTGACAATGAACATAAATAGACTTTTAGTGTGAGAAGAACTAAAATTCAGTGTACCAAGGACTCCCAATACTTTTTTGTGTTTATAATCTTCTATTTTATTTTTTTTCAAATTTGACCCATAGAGAACATTCACATAATGCTTGGTTTTTAGATTACAATTACCGTCTATCTAGTAAAATATATGTCAAATGATATCACAGCAAAAGTTAACTATAGTTAGAGTTTAAATTGGCTTACTATAATAAATATACTGAAAGGAAAAAGAAACGCAAGAGAAACAAGTGAAACAGTATTTGGAATTTTCTTTGTTAAAATTTGGAAAAAACCTACATGCAGTTTTTGCTATTGGCAATGTTCTATTACAGCCTCCAGCTCATAAAAAACCTGTGCTATTTGTTGCCTTGCTTAAACTTTTATTGAATACTCCCTATGTGCATCTTACAAAATATGGTACTTGGTTTATAGAATGCAAATACGTGATTATCTTTCCTGTCAATTTAACAGATATCTAAAGACATTTGTGTGTATTCTATAATTTATTACACACCCAACTGTGTATCACTCAATTTACCAGAAGATTTAATGCAATCACGTGACATTTTCGCTAATTAGCGCGTCTATCTTTTTGTCGGCAAACATGCCTTCTAATTCTAGACTACTGAAATATTTGAAGAATTTAACGATTTAAGAACAGTTAAATGTACTTGATTTGAAATGGAACTTGAATTTTTCTGTGGAAAATAAAATATATTGTATCATATACGATGTCGGCATTCGTCAAACATATTGATATCTTTCGAATAAAGCTTTCTTAAAGTCCCTGTAATGAGAACAAAATGTATTTAGCAGGAAAAGGAACTGTTGCTTTCACAAACCTGATTATATAAGATTGTCTACTTTTTCGTGCTAAAATATGATCAGGGTCCGTTCATAAAACATACTTAAGTCTGAGAATGCTCTCAAGTCTAAGAATTTTCTCAAATCCAAAATTCTCAGACTCAGCGGCCGTCATAAAAAGTTGAGCAAAATAAAAGTTCATTAAACTCTTTCATTCTCAAATTCTCAGCTGAGTAATTCTCAAGACTGAAGTTGAGAATTTTTTTTGAGAATTTTCAAAGTTTTATGACGGTGAACCCAGGGATCAAGTATGATTTGGTTTGCTAGCTTTAAATTATAAAATTTATACTCTAAGATCACGTGTAATGCAAATTTATAATTTTGATAAATAAATAGTTCATACTGGCATCGTCATGATCATCATATATTTACATCCACTGAATATTTTCTCCATTATTTCTTAAGAAAACCCATTGCGTTAATCACTGCATGAACTACATTAGGCATGTCGCCTGTACATATTTCTTGATCAGTGGCTGTTCCATCAATGAAACGTATAAAGACGTTCGCATCATTAATACAATAATTAATCTTTTTAATCCTACTTTCAATGATTATTTAAACAGATATAAATATAAACAATAAAATGCTTTCTTTCTTTATTTGTTATTACTGGATTATTAATCCCAGTAATAACAGCAAGTGTTTTCTTCATTTTACGTATAAGATTTTGCAAAAATTCTGCTTCATATGAATACAAAAAAGTCAACTAATAAAGGGGCGCAATTGTAACCCATGGGAAATTCAATGAATTGTTTGAAAACCTGGTCTCCGAAAAACAACAAAGATATAGTCAATCAGAAACTCAAGTATCCTTATGATGTAAACTTCAGAGTACTTGTGTGTACCATCAGAATGTTTTTAACAAAATAATTTTGCAAATGACCAATGACAAGGTAACTAAATCTACGAGTTTCATTTTTATTAAAAAGCAGCTGCCAATGATATCAAAAAGCCAGGACTTTAATTTATCGTTGGGAATGGCTGTGTATAAAGTTGATAAGTCGTAAGTTTTTAAGCTGTTGACTTTGATAAAATCTTATGATTTTCCTAAACTTCTGTCGAATTTTTAAGCATCCACATATGATTTACACAACCTCTTGAATATATTGTTGCACAGGACTCTTGAGTTTCTCCCTTTTTTACGTTTAACATCTTAGTGAGGAGTAAAGAAAGAGGCTTGGTGTAACATTTACTGGAATCCATATGTATCTTTGTTTGTAAGGATCCTTATGAAGTTTCGGAATCCAATATACTAGTATACATCTGGTAGTTCAAAATCATTTTTGCTCTTTGGGATATAAAAAATATTAAAAATTGTCATATGATTTTGAAGAATATCCTCCTTAGAAAGTGAAATTAGCAATGTCAGCAAAAATTACAATATATGTATTAAAAGATATGGGATGGAAAATAAAACATTAAGCATGTTTATGCTGAAAAGTTGAAATTAGAAAGTGAAAACTTATATGACATTTCTTTATGATTTTGAAGAATATCCTCCTCAGAAAGTGAAATTAGCAATGTCAGCAAAAATTACAATATATGTATTATAAAATATGGGATGGAAAATAAAACATTAAGAATGTTTATGCTTAAAAGTTAAAATTAGAAAGTGAAAACTAATATGACATTTCTTTTTGACAGTTGATGTTACAGTGATCGTGAATGAAAAGCAGAGATGAGAAAGAAGGATCATTGTAGAGTTGTGATACCGGTACTAGCATTGTGTTTCCTACTTCAGTATGCATTTTATCACATCTGGTATAATCCAAACCAATCATACGATTCCAAGACAAGCCGCCCGGAATTTAAGTTCATCTTTCCAGAAAGTGCAATTAAAGTGGCTAATCTAACGTCTAGCAATTCAAACAGTACTGTTAAACAAACAAAAAACAAATCTAGGTACAACATTGTATTTTATAACATGCCCTCTTGGATGTCAATGGAATTTAAAACTTTGGATTCCTCTAAATGTCCACACCATGCACTGAAACACAGTTGTTTTGTTTACCCTAAAAACAACTACTATAGTTCTTCAAAGAGTATTATCTTCTTTGGTGAAAGCCTACCCGCACAAGTTCCAAACAGACTAAAGGGACAAATGTGGACATTCTTTTCAATTGAGTCTCCATTTCTGTATTCTGTACCCCGACAATGGAAGGATAAATTCAATTGGACACTGACATATAGAAGAGATTCTGATTTCTTTTTCTTTTATGGAAAAATAAGTAAAAGACAGATTCCTCTAATACGAAATTACTCAGAAATATTTCGAAGAAAGAAGAAAACTGTTGCCTGGGCAGTCAGTAATTGTAAAACGTCTTCAAAGCGGGAAGTCTACATAAAAAAACTTCAGGACTTTATTAATGTTGATGTATATGGAAGATGCGGGAAACTTAAATGTGGCAGAAGATCGGCCGGAGTAACAGATTGTCACAAAAAATTCGCGGAAGAATACAAGTTCTACCTTGCTGTTGAGAACTCAGTATGTAAAGATTATACAACTGAAAAGTTGTTCAACTTTTTCAATCATAACCTGACAATGATACCTATTGTTAATGGACCTCAGAATGTTCATGAGTATATCCCAAAAGGAACATATATAAACATTCTAGATTACTCTTCGCCGTCAGAATTAGCGAAGGACCTCCACCGAATTGGATCAAACGAAACACTTTACTCTCAATATCTACGAGAAAAGGACAAATATCAGAATGAAGGATTTAGCTGGGAGGGAGTTTTATGTCCAATGTGTGCCAGACTACAAGATACTGGACAGACAGCAACTATTTCTGACATTCATTCTTGGATATGGAATAATACTTGCATCAAACCGTAATGAAAGATTCATTTGCCAATCAGAAAAATTATTTATCTACTTTATCTAATTTTTGTTGATTTATTTCAAAGCAGAGATCAATATCATATGTGTACAATTAATGCCATAAATCGCCTTTCACTGCTGTTGAGCAGTCTCTTAGTTTGATTGAATATTACGTCTACCAGATCTTGAGGGGCTTGACGGGTCTATATTTGATGCATACTTCTTTCGTTATCTGACTATACCATGGCATTTGTGGAGGCTTAATGCACTATTTGTGTATTATTCGTAGTTTTATTTTTTTTTTTCAAAAATACAATTAACAACATGTTACATTCACTTGAAACATTTTTTCATAAATAAACGTAGGCTTTGACAATAACAAATTAAAGGAAGCGATTTTGATTTTTTTTCCAAAGCATATTTTCTTAAATACTGTTAACCTCTCAAAACTTGTGGATATTTGTCGCTTGCCAATGAGAAAATAAGCTATCGATGTCCAGAAGGAAATCCGAAATCAACTCAGCAGTTTAATGCTGTTTATTCCCCATCTATGAACATAATCAAAATCTTGACAACTTAATATAAGGAATACTAAAGAGGAACAATTGCAACCACCACTCACTCCCTTCCAAGAGTCTTCATAAGCAAATACATAACAAATATAGCAATAAAGGATAATATATACATTTGTGGTATCTCTACATTATATAAACATACAGAGAACAAATATTTTCAATTCTGTATGAAGTTTGTCAGAGGTCAGAGGTCAATACGTGACCTAATCACACGGCGCAATGATCTCTACCAGTATAAAATGACTTGCTCTTGCTTTTCATGTATAAAAATGAACAAAATAATCGAGTAAAATAATCATTATTTTATTTACAGTGAAAACGAGTATTTCATACTTTTTTGGCTATCGATTTAACCTGTGTACATAGAGAATATACACATGAAAACTAGCGTTTGTTTACAAATTTCATGACACTTTTGTCAGTTGCACAGTCTCTAACGTTTATCCTAATTTTTTGGGTAGACATTTACTTAAAATTCTATAGAAAAACTATAATATTTCATTAATTCTACTCAAGATAAATGTGTAAATCTTTTGGAAAATATCAAACGTTGCAATCACGCCACAAACAGCTGACAGACAGACACTTCGGAGTTGTCGTAACAATAAGCTGTCGCCAGTGTCTCCGTGTTTTCATCATAAATATGCCTTTATTCAATGAAATCGAAGATTGAATGTTTTTGATCAAATCCTATTGAATGCAAATTAATTGGCTCGGTCAAGTTTTTCCATCCATCGGATCCATCCATCCCTTTCTGGCGACCGAAATTCCTCCAACTTTTTATCATCGATCTTCGAATCGTACGTGTTTCTTGTGTCTTTTCAGCATTGATTATCAGTTTTCACGAATAAAAATATTCCCAGACAACAATCTATTCACTATTACCGATCAGAAGTAGCCTTTCACATAATATTCCCTTAGAAATAAATCCTTAGCCTGGTGAATTCGAAGCGTAACCGCCATTCAAGCCGATGTACACCTTGCGTCATTTTTCAAAATCTACGACGGACAGTTAGTGCAATTAATGTGCAGTTAATTCACAGTCGAAAATATTCAATTGTCTGTCTCAAATGTATATATAAGTAATAAATAACAAGTTTATAAACTTCAATGGGAATTGAAGTGGGTCGGTAGGTGATCAAATCTTCTGAGAAGGCCTTCGGCCTTCACAGGATTTGATCACGTGACCAACCCACTTCAATTCCCATTAAAGTTTATAAACTTGTTATTTATTTCTTAAATGGAGATAGTGAAAAGTATTCAATATCAAAGTCCATAAAGCAATACAAAAAAGGAGTAGAGAAAACACGGACCTCCGAAAAATCAGAGGCGGGATCAGGTGCCATGGAGGAGTGAGCATCCCCTGCCGACCGGTTACACCCGCCATGTGCTCCTTGTCATGATCGGAAAATAACAGGAAAATCCATCGTCAACTCAGTGTAAATATAAAATACATTTGGTTACTGTCTAAAAAAAATGAAATTTAAGCGATATTTGGGCGAGCAAAAGAAAACGTTTTCGTTTTCGATCCGAGCCTAAAGATCGCTTATATTTCAAGACAGTGACCGTGTATTTTGTTTATCCTGCAAAATATATTTACATTTGACCTCCATAATGAACTATTTTCAACCCGATTTAGACACATCTCTGCAGTGGAAACTAAGACGCCATAGTGTAAACATTAAAATATACGTGACGTCAAAATTCTTGTAGAACGTCGGAATACAAGCACGAGGCTTTATTAGGACATTGACCGGATAAAGCGTTTGTTTATCGGGTTACCTTTATTAGGTCAATGCAAGGGGTGGTTAAAGGATAAAAATAATGGCTAAACAATTACTATGAAAAATGTCATTCAGCATTTGACTCAATGATAAATTGTATATGCTGACAAGGTCATTATATCGACAATAGTATTTACAAAATGGTGACTTTAAACGAGACTGTGATATTCTTGTTTCATCATTTTGTTTGTCAATTATTTACCTTGTATAAAAAATTGTGTATACGTAGAGCATGCTCTTGCGTATCGAATCAACTGAGATATATAAACTCCGTGTACTGTTGGTGAAGGTATATTGCAGCATAAATAAGTGAATTTGAGGATAGAAAAGTTAAAGTCGTCACGTTTATCATAGAGCTGGGTTGTTAGGTTACCATTAACGTCATTTCAAAGTAAAGTATCCAAGTATCAAACAGATATGTCAGAGTCTGTGGAATTTTTTATTTCAGGATATATCGTATCGACATAGGAATGGAAATTATCATTGTTAATTGACAATACATCGTCGATATATCTTCATGTCAAGTTGAAGGCCACAGCAAGCGCTTTCTTCTGATTCAGTGATTTTACCATGAGTCAGAAAAGTGCAAGCAAACATTATTTTAAAGATGACCTTAGCGGTTTTAAATCTGTCGCGAAAGGCCGTGATCTTTGTGTGTTTAATATTCCTTGACACATTGTGCAGTGTTTTCTGTATATTTGTTTATTACTTTTTTAGGAAGACATGTGCAGTGACTTGTGCTTTCTTATATCCTTAAGCACAGGGCAAGGGGTTACGCCTTTACCTCTTACACATAAGGCTCAAAGAATACTTTACTCATAGTTCCCTTTCTAAGGAAGAAATTCCTCAAAACCATATGTCAGTTTTGAATATTTCTAATATCCCAAAGAACCAAAATGAATTTAAACTACAAAGTTTAAAGGGGAAAACATGCGTTCGTTTACACCGGTGACAATTGATTACACTGAATAGTGAATAAACCCCATTCATACGACATGATTGCCATACCTCAGTTTATAATAAACTTTATTTTACTCATCTGTAAATTTACTCACATGAGCAATTTTTGTATAAAATTTGGAACTCATAATTTTTTTTAAAATTTTTATATAACATTCTTAAGCCAAAAAATCCTCCCACCCAATGAATCCTACAAATTTTCGATTTAGGATAGAATTTACAGAATCAAGCTGGTTTGGTACATGTGAATGTTTGTAAGAAAGTCTCGACAAACATTGGCTACATTTTACAAGTGTGAACGTGCTAAAATCATTACGCATACGACGCTTGTAAACGTGCGCGTGTGAGAGTAAAACCGACGTAAAGTTGCCAAGCTCGCGCACCAAAGTCTCTGTCAGTATTAGGGTGAGTATGATATTCTGCTGTATAAATATCGGTTTCAGTGATAATACCTTAAAAATAACCGAGGTAGCATAAGGAAAAGACCTATCTTGATGTGACATTGTTACGCGCCAACGTCACCGTAATGGTTGGTTGGAAATATTTTAAGTTACTCTCTGACAACCGAAATAAAACTTGTTTGGTTGAAAAGTTCAAAACCATCTGCACAGCAGCATGCTGTTGCCTTTTTATTCACTTATGCAATTCAATTACTAGACCCAGTGTAACTTCCGTCAGCCATACCATGATTCCAAGAAATTTATACTGACTGTAAATGTGCAAAAACAATGTTTATAACTATAATGCATCGTTTGGCACTACAAAATTTGTCATCATCAACATGCACATGTTTTTGGATTTTTATCACTTCCCCTACATGATGCCATACATTTCATTGTTGAGTAGTTTTGACCAACGATTTTAGTGCAAAGTAACCAAAATACACATTTGACTGATTTTCATAATTTTCGGCCACGTAGTCAAAAATGTTTCGCATATTATGTTCTTATGCGTTTCTTTTTCCTTTCAGTGTATTTTTTGAAAGTTACTATACGATGGATGATCAAAACGTTCGCGAACAAATTAAATAACTAAAAAAACTTAATAAATAAAATTAGGTTTCAGTGTTCATTATTTTTTAAAAGTAGCACTCTCTGATTTTAATGCATGTCTGCAACCGTTCTCTCCATGCGTGATCCAAGGGGTCACGTGACATGTTTTGAAGCATCCTGTTCAAAGACGCTAAAATATTTTACCGAGTCATATTTCGTACATGCAAGTGATTTTTAAAACAAGAACAGTCTCGGAAATAAGATGGTTGGATAAGGATATTTTCCCCCCAGAAATAGTGTGGTGACCATCACAACCCCAAGTCCTTTGTCTTAGGAACATCCTTTGTCCAATATGGATATTTAGTATAGGCTGATGCCTTCTTTTTATCTGCGACACGGGACCTCAGTTTAAACGGTCTTACTCAAAGGACCGGTTTCCACGTCCCACAGTGGGATTCGAACCCTCGACGTAAGGATCAACTTACTTTGCGGCTCTAGAGCAGACGCTCTAACCACTGCGCCAGCCTAGGTGAAAAGAATTAGATTATATCCTCTTGATATTTTAGAGAACTGTAATTGAAAACGCTTATTTATATAATGTATATTAATATTCAGAATAGTCATTATATTTTTTTTTTAAATTTAAAAAATCGATTCATTTATGTGGCTTACTTTGTCATTTTCTGCATTAAGTTGTGCCGTATTACTGTTGTTCATTTGTTCAGTGTGAAATTTTTCTACTTTAGAAAAAAACTTTAATCTTGGCTATAACTTTTGAACGGTAATGGATAGGGCTTTCATACTTTACATATATAATCCTTGCGAAAAAACA